TAGGAGCAATGTTCGCTACTAGGGGCTCCTGGCCTCGCTACTAGGGCTCCTGGCCTTACTGCTAGGAGCAAGAAGCTACTAGTAGCAAGGGCATTGCTACTAATAACAAGGGCAACGAATCTGTCGAGTCATCCAACGAATCTGTCCATCCCAAAGCGTGCAAAGTGGCTGCTTTTGGTATTCTATGGTATTCTAGTCCGACTGGCGATAGATGTCCAATGGGCCAATTCAATGTCCTTCGGTTGCGCGGAGAAATGTTCGAAAGTGTCGGTTGCGGCATCTGTCTCGAAACCAGCTTCTTGTTCCTAGTAGCGATGCCCTTCGCTCCTAGTAGACTCGATCTGTCTCGAGGGCCCGGACTCATCATATTGGCCAGTCAGCACCTGGACACGGAGACGCCAATGCGGGAGACGGAAAGCACTGTTTGGATCTGCTTGGTTCTGAGAATCAAGTGGAAAGCACATGAAGAATTGAGGCACAAAGGTATGGGATTCCTTGTATTGAGGTTCGCTATTGGGTTGGAGGCCATCGCTATTAAAGGCATAAGCATGCATAATCATAATGAATACCTTTGCAACCTTGCCCGTGCTCTTGATCCTGAAATGAAGCAACATGACGCAACAGTCTCAGCAAGGAGAAACACTGAATAGATCTGGTGGAAAAACAAAGGAAACTCCAGAACTTAGCTAGTGAGAGGAGCTACCCATGCTGAATGCAATGTGGTCTCTAACTCTAACTATTAGAGGCAACATACATCTCGTGTTTGAATAGAAACCATTGCCATGCCTGCTGCTGTCCCTTTTGGGTCAAAAGGATTGCGAGGTCTGAAGGTAGCTGGCCAAAGCGAATGCAATTCTACAGGACAGCTTTCCGATGGTCAGCTGCGGTTGCCAGGTTGCCTCTCTATGCTTCGCATGCTTAGCGGCAAAACGTCGCGCACGTTCCGAACGAAGCCTCTGGGGCGAGATAGTCCAACGTGCCACAGGCGGTCATGCCTGGCACATCAAAGAGGTCTCTAAGCCCCACGTGCGCACTGGCAAAACAACTAGACGACGAGTGGCCCGAAAGCATTTTTCACCACGTGTGAAGTTAGAGTGTGAGTTGCGTGTTAAGTGTTCAGTGTGAAGTGTTAGTCTAGTGTGTTGAGGCAGTGTGTGGGTCTCTGTGTGTGTGTATCTATGTCTGTGTGTGTGTATGTGTCTCTCTCTGTATGTCTCTCTGACGCGCAGGAACACCTTTTTTCTGCGCTCCCCAGATACTCAGCGTACTACAGTTGTACTACCAAGTCACCAGTTCTCATCTTCCAGCTCCCCAGATACTCCACGTACTA